CATAGGGTTGTAGTTGTTTGGTGAGAAATTTGGCTAGGTTTTGTAGAGGTGAGCCAATGGAGCTGACTATGGGTCTAAGTGGGATTCCTTCTTTGTGTATCTTGGGGAGCCCATAGAGCTTAGGGTATCTGGATGATTTCTCTCTGGGAATGATTCTTTGCTGGATCTCTTCGCTGATGGGGGAGGCTTTTATTTTGGATCTAGTGGTTTTTTCCAGGTAGGTGGTGGGACCTGTGTTTAGGGGTTTGTATGTGGAGTCTTGGAGTAGGTTGGTTAATTTGGTTTGGTAGTCCGATGCACGACCACAAACTAGAAGCCAGTCCACAGCTGCATCATTAGCCACTTTAAACCCCTCCAATCCATACATGAAGCAAACTGACACCCACCATAAAGATGTGGCACGACCACGAACATGAAGCCAAACAACAGCAATGAAGCTCACTATCTCAAATCCCCCTGCAACAATTTAATTCATGTGTGTGTGTGTGTGTGTGTACACACACAGAGACACACATATATATGAATTAAATGTAGATGGAATATATTGCAATCAGCAAGGGATTTCTAAAACAGGATTAAAATCTCCAGTCATAATTATTTGATCCATAGCTAAATTAAAAAGATTTGGTAGAAATCTTTAACATGTAAATAGAAAGGCATATTACCAATGTTCTCATCTTTTATTGCAAGATGGGGGGTGTAATAGAATTCAAGAAAGACAATTAGAACTAAATCATTCATGAAATCTCCATATGTGGAACTTTAGACCTTTGAAGTTAGTCTATTTTCATTTGTGGTGAGGTAAGATGGGATGGGAATCAGCTGGGCAAAAGAATACCCTCTATGGTGGTGGTTTCCATCACCAGATAAAGAGCTTCCTCCTGCACCCTCTCACGCATTGTTTTCTTCCCCATATCCAGATTTCACAAGGTAGGCAGTGTGATCTAGTGCACTTCCCTCCATTTATCTCATTCTTGCTTTTCCTGTTTCCAAGCATGTTACTACCCAACTGTCTTCCTTTAGGACTCAATTTCTGGCACGGCCTGTTGTTTGCTGTACATTTGTGCTTTAGCCACTTTTGAGCTGAACTTTTTCTTCAGTTCCTCAAGGCAAACAAGTTGCAGAAAGATTTTCTTTCCTTGCTTACTTCCTTTCCTCTACTCTTAAGCATGGCAGGCACTTATCAAAGTAAGTAACATCAGGATTGGAGGACAGTTTAGTTCCAGTGCCTAATTGGGGAGTGTGGGGCGGGGGGGGGGGGGGGGGGGGGGAGAAGAGAAAGATCAACAAGTCTCTCTGTCCCATCTTTTCTCTTTATTGAAGATGTGGATTCCTGGGGGAGGGAGGGGTTGAGCAAGGGAAAGATTTTAGGAAGCTCATCCTAGAAGCTGTCTCCTTTGCATGCAGGTGGTAGACTTCCCCAAAGCTTAACAAGAAGAAGGAGAAGTTTGGAGTCTCCTGACAGCCAGCTGATCAGGACAAAAAGCTCTGAAAGCAGTTGCCATTTCCATAGGGAATTGTTGCAGAGCTGAAAATGGCAACTGCTTCCAGGAAGCATGGGGAACAACCCCAAATGCTGTGAGTCCCAGTGGGTTGGGATGAGGGGAGAGATGGGGTGTGTGGTTGAAACAAGGTCATACACAGCTTTTGGGGGATCGATCGTAAGTTTGAGTGGCCACTAAGTAACCAGTTTATCTCAAGGACTAGCAGTACTACAGTTTCTGGTGAAGGTGAAAGAAGTTGCTTCCTTCCACAATTGATCCTAGAATTATGGTTGTAAGTAGTTGAGGATATTAAGCAAGGTGCCCATGTGATTGCATCCCATAAGAAGCACAATTCCTGTTGTGGTTGTTAAGTGATTATGAGGTTGCTAAATGGAGCATGGGGTGCCTCAGGGAGTGGGGGACTTGCACTGTAACACTTCCCCAGCTTACATGTGGCCTATAATGGGAAACCCAGGCCTCCCCTACCCTCTGAGGCATCCTTGTAGAGTTTTGCACCCCACTTGATCTCACACCTTTGGTCCTCCATTTCTGTCCATCATACCTGACTCCATTTACCTCTTCCGAAGATCGCATTTCCCAGCTTTTGCACCATTCTGGAGGTGGGCATCATTTGTACTATTTCTCAGAAATTGCACCCTTCTAAGAAGAGATCATGAGAATGGCAGCCATTTCCAGAATGATGCAAGACAGTCTCTATAAAAGACCATGCAGTGCATCAGTTGATTCTCTTTCTAAAATTTGATTTTCAGAAATCCTCTTTTTAGAAAGAGAGTCAGCCAATGCACCATGTGGCCTTTCTACAAAAAGCCATTCTAGAGTGGGTGCCCTTTGGAAGTAGGCCCAAGGGACCCAGCAGGGCAGGTTGGTCATAAGAATGGGTGAAGTATCAATTGTGATCATATGATTGGGGGGGGGGGGAACACTGCAGCGGCTGTAAGTTTGGGTACAAGTCCTAAGTCCCTTCCCTCAGCATGGTCAGAATTTCAAACAGTTGCTAAGTGAATGGTTGTAAGTCAAGGACTGTAGTTTTTTAAAATAAAAATGAACAAATAACATTTTAAAGTAAGGGAAATATGGCCCCACTGACTTTTGGAGTGGGCTTTTGACTTCTCAACATGATACATCAAACCTACTGTAGCCTAGGGCTATGTACATGCTCTGATTTATTTTGGAAAAAGTCATGATTGGTCTGATATGAGCATTATTCTTTCAGATGACATTTTCTTCTCTTCTGACTCCCTCTTTTCATCCCTTTTCATTCCTTCTACTCAGGCTAAGGAAGCAGCAGCAGCAGCAACGCCATGGCAGGAACAGTCCAAGCTGCTCGTGCCCACTCTGACATGTGACCAGCTTCTGCTTCCTCTCTAGGAATCTGCTTGATGATTTTAACTCTCAGGAAGCCAAGTCAAAGATAATCTCTAAGAATCTGTGCAGAAATAGAGAGAAGGAAAATGTCCATGCATGTGGGCGTGTTTGTAAAAGAGAGGAGGGATGAGTTAGAGAATGAAGGAGGAGAGAGAATGGGGGAGGAGGGAGAGAAACCAGCTGGAGGTCAGGGGAAAAAATGAAAAGAAAAAACAGAAAAAACAGAAAAAAGAAAAGAAAAAAATGACAGGAGAGGAAAACAAAGGGGGAGGGAGCATACTTTCTCACGCTTTTCCCCTCTGGCTCCCTCCTGCTCTACCATGCATTTCCTGCCATCCAGGGAGGGAACAAATTGGCATTATGATTGCCAAGTTTCCGGATCACGATCATGTCAGAGTGGTGTGTGTGTGTGTGTGTGTGTGTGTGTGTGTGATATTTTATGAAGTTTGGAAGTACCATGACTTTCGCTGAAGATGATTGGCTACAACTGCAGGAAAGATCTACCTTCCTGGTGTCATGGGCAACAGAACCTGCCCTCAGGCTTTTCTGCTAAACTCTGGTACTGTATTGTGTTGGCACCTCGCAACTCATACTGCTTCAATTCAGTCAAAGTGGCCAACTTGGGGAGGAGCTTTTGTGAAGCCAGAATTTTATGGAGCCTAAATCTTTTATTATTATTATTATTATTATTATTATTATTATTATTATTATTATTATTATTATTATTATTATTATTATTATTATTATTATTATTATTATTATTATTATTATTATTATTATTATTATTGTTTTTGTTATTGTTATTGTTATTGTTATTATTGTTTTTGTTGTTGTTGTTCTTCTTCCTCCTCCTCCTCCTATTATTATTATTATTATTATTATTATTATTATTATTATTATTATTATTATTATTATTATTATTATTGGGGTAATTTAATGTTGTGTTTAACTTTTGTTTTCTTATGCATATATTTCATGAGTAGTGTATATGAATGCAGTCACACCATAGAAGGGGCATAGCCGTTGTGCATTCCAAGCTGCAACTAAGGTCTCAGCCAGATGGCCCACCAATTCCTAAATGAAAAACCCAAGCTCCTCTGAACCCAACAAGGTCCATCAGGAATCTTGGGTGGGTTGATCTAACAGGCCTTGCCTCCCCATGAAGTCAGGTGACACCAGCAAACCAGAAAGCATCCAGAGAATGATTTCATCATGGCAATGAACTAATAATGATGTTCTCCAAAACTAAGTATGTTGCTACTGCCACAAAACAAAAACTAATGTGTGGTCCCTGATATGCATTGGGTGTAGTGATTTGGGACAAGTTCATGGTTGCCATAAACTCCTGGACTACCTTATACTCAAGGTTACCAGAAGCGAAGTTAAAATCTCCAAGAACCAACAGCCTCAGGTCTCTATTGTCAGCACAACAACATATTCAGCTGCTCAAGCAGGTATGATGCTGGTCAACAGATAATACACAAGCAGCAATCACAATTGTTCCTTACAGCCCAAATTTAACCAAGAGCCTCACATCCAGTTTGCACCACAGGCCTCCAAACCCTCAACAATTTGCAGATGATAATGGCCAGCCTTTTTTCCCCTCCCCTAAAGTTTGATCTAAATTCCAAGATAACTGCCCACTCTAGAGCCATTCAGAACATAGTAAGGCTAGACAGGTCTGTTGCCATACCCACAATCAAATTTTGGATGAAGAAAGATATATTGCAGACTGACTTGGCAATCAGCAGCAATAGCTGGAGTCCAGGGTCTCACAGGCATTATTTATTTATTGATATAAGTCAGCCAATCTAATTTATAGGCCTTAAAAGGAGCAATTTATAGGATACAATATGTGCCAGGAAAGAAGCGGAGGGGGAAGATGAAAATGGAGGGGAGGGGAAAAGAAGGAAAAGAAAAAAAAGAAGAGAGAGAGAGAGAGAGAAAGTGAAAGAAAGAAAGAAAGAGAAAGAAAGAAAGAAAGAAAGAAAAAGGAAGGAAGGAAGGAAGGAAGGAAGGAAGGAAGAAAGAAAGAAAGAAAGAAAGAAAGAAAGAAAGAAAGAAAGAAAGAAAGAAAGAAAAGAAAGGAGTTGTCACTTATCATGATCTTGACTTCTTTCCTTGTCTTAATTATTGAACACAAGTGTTCACTGAACGTTTAACGGCTCGTATAAGGGGGGATTGATTCTTAGTTTGTAACATCATAAACAGAGACATTATATCCATGTCTTTGGTGTCCCCATCCAGATAGAAGGTGAAGTTCTGGAGCAGAGTGCTGAAGAACAGGAAGAGCTCCATCCTAGCCAGAGCCTCTCCTGGACAGGCCCTCTTCCCTGAAATAGCAAACAAGAAAACAAAGCTTATTCAAAGCTGATTAAAGAATAACATGGATCAGGCAAGCATATGAATTGGTAATACTATTTGTCCCAGAGGACTGTACCTGCTGAGAATGGCATGAAAGCATCCCTTTTCCTGAACTGGCCCTTTTCATTCAAAAAATGATCTGGGTTGAACTTCTCTGGAGTCTCCCAATGGAGAAGATCACGGTGTACTGAGGGGAGGACTGGCACAACAGCCATGTACTAGAAGAAGGAGGTAAAGAAACAGATGACATTAATTGGTGCTACTTCATCCAGAGAATAAAGAGCCTCACTTGTGTCAAATAAAATAGGCCAGCAGGGAGCAATCTGCAAACATTCTGAAATGGAATGAAGGGAGAGAGATTTGGTTTAATTAATTAATTTATTAAATTTGTATACTTCCCATGTCAGTATCCAAAGTGACTCTAGGCAATTCACAATGCCATAAATAATGCATATTAATACATACTTATTCAAACTGCCTTGAATATGAAGGATCTTTGACTATATAACAGTGAGTGCTTTTTTTGTAAAAAAACAAAAAGGTGCCGGAACTCACACAGGTCATACAACCCGCCTTGCCTAACCTACAAGATTTACCTTTGTAGTTGAAAAAAACCATTCAATTATTAGTGTATCTAAAAGACTAGGATTTTGTTCAAGGTAAGTTAATAATATTAATGTTACCATGCACAAATCCTTTGAAAAAAGGTGCAGGAACTCCATTCCTGTGCGTTCTATGACCAAAAAAGCCCTGATAACAGTCATCTATTTTTTTTCTTCTGCAGAATATCTTTACCAGTAATTATTATTGCCACACCTTGGGAATGTTGTAACCATGAAATTTGACATCACAAGTTGTTGCCCGTGGAAAGATTTCAAGGCGGTCAGTCCGATAACGTTGAACCTCATGGACCACAGCATTTGTGAAAGGCATCTTCAACCGGTCTTCCATGCTTGGAGTGCGATTTGTACCCACTACCTCATCAATCTCTTGTTGCACCTTAACTGTGAGAAAAACATACTGAGATGAGATTGACAACCTTTTACTGTATTGTACTGAGCACCCACAGTCAGCTACCACTTGAATAGAAACATGTTTTCCAAAGCACGTTCAGAGAAGACACTTCCAGTCAGGAAAATGGCTCCTCTTCAAAGTCATTTCTCAGTGGAGACCATTTCAATTTTTCTAGTGCAAGAAGACTATGTTACGGTTGAAATTATGAAAGCTGGTGATCACAGTTTACTAGCAAAACTATACTTGAGTTGCCTCAGAAAAGAAAAAATAACTGATGCATGGAAAAATGCTGAAGTGATTCTTATACACAGGAAAAGGGCCCAAGATGATTTAAAGAACTATTGCCCAATAAGCCTTCTTTCATTCATTGACAAGGTTTTCACCAAGAAAATAGCAAAAAGAATATTGAGAATGTTAAATGATGCACAGTCAAATGAGCATGCAGGGTTCAGAAGTGGTTAAAGCACAATGGATCACATCCAAGTTGTTCATTAAGTCATTGAAAGGTACAACAAATACACCATGCCTCTGTGCATGGCTTTATTGCCTACAATTTCATTGACTACAACTCAGAATTCCAGCAAGCAATAATTAGGGCATTGCTCAACCAAGGCATAGATACTTCTTACATAAACATACTACAATCAATATATGAAAAACAATGGCAACAATTTGCCTTAATGATCTTAAAGTGGAAATCAACATAGAACAAGGT